TTTTATTTTTATTTTAATTTTTGAGACAGAGTCTCGCTCTGTCGCCCAGGTTGGAGTGCAGTGGTGTGATCTTGGCTCACTGCAAGCTCCGCCTCCCAGGTTCACACCATTCTCCTGCCTCAGCCTCCCGATTAGCTGGGACTACAGGCACCCACCACCACTCTCAGCTAATTTTTTGTGTTTTTAGTAGAGACGGGGTTTCACCGTATTAGCCAGGATGGTCTTAATCTTCTGACCTCATGATCCACCCGCCTTGGCCTCCCAAAGCGCTGGGATTACAGGCGTGAGTAATTGCACCCGGCCAGATGTAAGAATTTTTATAAATGTGCTACTGGGGAAAGTGTATCTTATCAACATAGGGTGCAAAAGCAATTAGTACCAGGTGTGCCATCTGCATAGCGTGAAGTCTCTGGCAGCCCCACCTCATGCTTTTGTTATGCAGGGGAGCACTACTCCATGTTGCTTATCTCCTTCCACCATGCATGTGGTGAAAGGGCAGGAGGGGTTTCTGTGCCTGGTCCCAGGTACCTCTTGTAGTTGCAGGAATCCCAAACCCTGTACAAGGTTCCGGCTTTCCTATCTTAGCATGCCCCCAGAAAAGGAAAGGCCCGTGCTCACAAGGCTCACTATTTTTACTGGGACCCATCCTATGTGTGTGAAGTTTGGAGATTACACCCAGACACACCCTCTCTGTGGCAGAGTCGCTTATCTATGTTTTGGAGCCTGATCTTTCAGGCTGCTCTTTGCTAGAAGTGATTTTGTTGAACTGTGTGTGATTAGAAAAGAAGTAACTTTTGAGCTGATTTTTGTTAGAAGAAATGTTTTTGCCAGAGACTTTTTTATCCTATCTAAATTTTTTTTTTCTAAATCTAATGAGCTGTCTCCAGGGTTGTACATCTCCGTTTTTTCCTTCCATTCTCATGGGATAATTTCCTTGTTGCTACATGAGTCCAGCCCTCCTTTTCATGTACATGGACTATCCAACCATCACGCACCCAGGAACAGCTTCAGGAAATGTAAGCTGCCAGCTGCCCCATCAGCCTCCACCTGCACAGTGATCATTCCTTCAGCTTTCACACACGCTGGAGGATTTTCCACCCAGAAGGGCCTCTCACACCCACTCCCAGTACAGTTCTGGGACCCTGTATACTTCCCAGATACAGGTACTTATTCCTCCCCTTTGCTGTTAATTTCGTTTCATTTATTTAAAATTCACTAGGACATCATCAATGATGGGAGGGACCAGCCTGCCCACCCTATTTTCTGTCCACTGACTGACAAGGCCACCTGTGAGGCTGATCACCCTAGTGTGCTGCACTGAGGGGCCATCTGAACATACACTGACACCAGGTGTGTGAGTTATTAGAGAAGACCCGGGGTCAGCAGGTGTCTGTGCTCCACAGGACACAGGTCTGTCCTGCAGTAGAACCTGCATGACCTGGAATGGTACATGTGCATGACCTGTGGTCTCAGCAGATCAGCTGAGGCCAGATTGAGGCAATTCCTGTGTAACCTGCCCTGGGCGCCCACAGAGGACAGATGCATGACAAGGATGTAAGGGAATGATGTGGGTTAGGGGAACTGATGTTCAACCTTTATTGAGGCTCTACTCTGCACCTGGACCTTATGGAAGACTACGAAGAAGAGAACAAGAGTCCAGCCCCCAATAGCTCCTGGTTTAGGGTCAGCTTTAGTGGGATTTTAGAGAGTAGAAGACACAGGGATGATGCTGGAGT